CAAGTCTACCTACATGCAAGTATGCCTACATGCAAGTCTACCTACATGCAAGTATACCTACATGCAAGTCTACCTACATGCAAGTATGCCTACATGCAAGTCTACCTACATGCAAGTATGCCTACATGCAAGTCTACCTACATGCAAGTATGCCTACATGCAAGTCTACCTACATGCAAGTATGCCTACATGCAAGTCTACCTACATGCAAGTATGCCTATATGCAAGTCTACCTACATGCAAGTATGCCTACATGCAAGTCTACCTACATGCAAGTATGCCTACATGCAAGTCTACCTACATGCAAGTATGCCTACATGCAAGTCTACCTACATGCAAGTATGCCTACATGCAAGTCTACCTACATGCAAGTATGCCTACATGCAAGTCTACCTACATGCAAGTATGCCTACATGCAAGTCTACCTACATGCAAGTATGCCTACATGCAAGTCTACCTACATGCAAGTATGCCTACATGCAAGTCTACCTACATGCAAGTATGCCTACATGCAAGTCTACCTACATGCAAGTATGCCTACATGCAAGTCTACCTACATGCAAGTATGCCTACATGCAAGTCTACCTACATGCAAGTATGCCTACATGCAAGTCTACCTACATGCAAGTATGCCTACATGCAAGTCTACCTACACTGCAAGTATGCCTACATGCAAGTCTACCTACATGCAAGTATGCCTACATGCAAGTCTACCTACATGCAAGTATGCCTACATGCAAGTCTACCTACATGCAAGTATGCCTACATGCAAGTCTACCTACATGCAAGTATGCCTACATGCAAGTCTACCTACATGCAAGTATGCCTACATGCAAGTCTACCTACATGCAAGTATGCCTACATGCAAGTCTACCTACATGCAAGTATGCCTACATGCAAGTCTACCTACATGCAAGTATGCCTACATGCAAGTCTACCTACATGCAAGTATGCCTACATGCAAGTCTACCTACATGCAAGTCTACCTACATGCAAGTCTACCTACATGCAAGTCTACCTACATGCAAGTATGCCTACATGCAAGTCTACCTACATGCAAGTCTACCTACATGCAAGTCTACCTACATGCAAGTCTACCTACATGCAAGTATGCCTACATGCAAGTCTACCTACATGCAAGTATGCCTACATGCAAGTCTACCTACATGCAAGTATGCCTACATGCAAGTCTACCTACATGCAAGTATGCCTACATGCAAGTCTACCTACATGCAAGTATGCCTACATGCAAGTCTACCTACATGCAAGTATGCCTACATGCAAGTCTACCTACATGCAAGTATGCCTACATGCAAGTCTACCTACATGCAAGTATGCCTACATGCAAGTCTACCTACATGCAAGTATGCCTACATGCAAGTCTACCTACATGCAAGTATGCCTACATGCAAGTCTACCTACATGCAAGTATGCCTACATGCAAGTCTACCTACATGCAAGTATGCCTACATGCAAGTCTACCTACATGCAAGTATGCCTACATGCAAGTCTACCTACATGCAAGTATGCCTACATGCAAGTCTACCTACATGCAAGTATGCCTACATGCAAGTCTACCTACATGCAAGTATGCCTACATGCAAGTCTACCTACATGCAAGTATGCCTACATGCAAGTCTACCTACATGCAAGTATGCCTACATGCAAGTCTACCTACATGCAAGTATGCCTACATGCAAGTATGCCTACATGCAAGTCTACCTACATGCAAGTCTACCTACATGCAAGTCTACCTACATGCAAGTCTACCTACATGCAAGTATGCCTACATGCAAGTCTACCTACATGCAAGTATGCCTACATGCAAGTCTACCTACATGCAAGTATGCCTACATGCAAGTCTACCTACATGCAAGTATGCCTACATGCAAGTCTACCTACATGCAAGTCTACCTACATGCAAGTCTACCTACATGCAAGTATGCCTACATGCAAGTCTACCTACATGCAAGTATGCCTACATGCAAGTCTACCTACATGCAAGTATGCCTACATGCAAGTCTACCTACATGCAAGTATGCCTACATGCAAGTCTACCTACATGCAAGTATGCCTACATGCAAGTCTACCTACATGCAAGTATGCCTACATGCAAGTCTACCTACATGCAAGTATGCCTACATGCAAGTCTACCTACATGCAAGTATGCCTACATGCAAGTCTACCTACATGCAAGTATGCCTACATGCAAGTCTAACTACATGCAAGTATGCCTACATGCAAGTCTACCTACATGCAAGTATGCCTACATGCAAGTCTACCTACATGCAAGTATGCCTACATGCAAGTCTACCTACATGCAAGTATGCCTACATGCAAGTCTACCTACATGCAAGTATGCCTACATGCAAGTCTACCTACATGCAAGTATGCCTACATGCAAGTCTACCTACATGCAAGTATGCCTACATGCAAGTCTACCTACATGCAAGTATGCCTACATGCAAGTCTACCTACATGCAAGTATGCCTACATGCAAGTCTACCTACATGCAAGTATGCCTACATGCAAGTATGCCTACATGCAAGTCTACCTACATGCAAGTCTACCTACATGCAAGTCTACCTACATGCAAGTCTACCTACATGCAAGTATGCCTACATGCAAGTCTACCTACATGCAAGTATGCCTACATGCAAGTCTACCTACATGCAAGTATGCCTACATGCAAGTCTACCTACATGCAAGTATGCCTACATGCAAGTCTACCTACATGCAAGTCTACCTACATGCAAGTCTACCTACATGCAAGTATGCCTACATGCAAGTCTACCTACATGCAAGTATGCCTACATGCAAGTCTACCTACATGCAAGTATGCCTACATGCAAGTCTACCTACATGCAAGTATGCCTACATGCAAGTCTACCTACATGCAAGTATGCCTACATGCAAGTCTACCTACATGCAAGTATGCCTACATGCAAGTCTACCTACATGCAAGTATGCCTACATGCAAGTCTACCTACATGCAAGTATGCCTACATGCAAGTCTACCTACATGCAAGTATGCCTACATGCAAGTCTACCTACATGCAAGTATGCCTACATGCAAGTCTACCTACATGCAAGTATGCCTACATGCAAGTCTACCTACATGCAAGTATGCCTACATGCAAGTCTACCTACATGCAAGTATGCCTACATGCAAGTCTACCTACATGCAAGTATGCCTACATGCAAGTCTACCTACATACAAGTATGCCTACATGCAAGTCTACCTACATGCAAGTATGCCTACATGCAAGTCTACCTACATGCAAGTATGCCTACATGCAAGTCTACCTACATGCAAGTCTACCTACATGCAAGTCTACCTACATGCAAGTATGCCTACATGCAAGTCTACCTACATGCAAGTATGCCTACATGCAAGTCTACCTACATGCAAGTATGCCTACATGCAAGTCTACCTACATGCAAGTATGCCTACATGCAAGTCTACCTACATGCAAGTATGCCTATATGCAAGTCTACCTACATGCAAGTATGCCTACATGCAAGTCTACCTACATGCAAGTATGCCTACATGCAAGTCTACCTACATGCAAGTATGCCTACATGCAAGTCTACCTACATGCAAGTATGCCTACATGCAAGTCTACCTACATGCAAGTATGCCTACATGCAAGTCTACCTACATGCAAGTATGCCTACATGCAAGTCTACCTACATGCAAGTATGCCTACATGCAAGTCTACCTACATGCAAGTATGCCTACATGCAAGTCTACCTACATGCAAGTATGCCTACATGCAAGTCTACCTACATGCAAGTATGCCTACATGCAAGTCTACCTACATGCAAGTATGCCTACATGCAAGTCTACCTACATGCAAGTATGCCTACATGCAAGTCTACCTACATGCAAGTATGCCTACATGCAAGTCTACCTACATGCAAGTATGCCTACATGCAAGTCTACCTACATGCAAGTATGCCTACATGCAAGTCTACCTACATGCAAGTATGCCTACATGCAAGTCTACCTACATGCAAGTATGCCTACATGCAAGTCTACCTACATGCAAGTATGCCTACATGCAAGTCTACCTACATGCAAGTATGCCTACATGCAAGTCTACCTACATGCAAGTATGCCTACATGCAAGTCTACCTACATGCAAGTATGCCTACATGCAAGTCTACCTACATGCAAGTATGCCTACATGCAAGTCTACCTACATGCAAGTATGCCTACATGCAAGTCTACCTACATGCAAGTATGCCTACATGCAAGTCTACCTACATGCAAGTATGCCTACATGCAAGTCTACCTACATGCAAGTATGCCTACATGCAAGTCTACCTACATGCAAGTATGCCTACATGCAAGTCTACCTACATGCAAGTATGCCTACATGCAAGTCTACCTACATGCAAGTATGCCTACATGCAAGTCTACCTACATGCAAGTATGCCTACATGCAAGTCTACCTACATGCAAGTATGCCTACATGCAAGTCTACCTACATGCAAGTATGCCTACATGCAAGTCTACCTACATGCAAGTATGCCTACATGCAAGTCTACCTACATGCAAGTATGCCTACATGCAAGTCTACCTACATGCAAGTATGCCTACATGCAAGTCTACCTACATGCAAGTATGCCTACATGCAAGTCTACCTACATGCAAGTATGCCTACATGCAAGTCTACCTACATGCAAGTATGCCTACATGCAAGTCTACCTACATGCAAGTATGCCTACATGCAAGTCTACCTACATGCAAGTATGCCTACATGCAAGTCTACCTACATGCAAGTATGCCTACATGCAAGTCTACCTACATGCAAGTATGCCTACATGCAAGTCTACCTACATGCAAGTATGCCTACATGCAAGTCTACCTACATGCAAGTATGCCTACATGCATGACTGCACACATGTATGGACTCACGAGGTTATAGAGGTAGATGAAGTGCTTGAAAGGGTTCATCCATGGCTTTGCCTTGAGGTGCCTTTTTTGAGTCGACTCAGAAGTCACATGCATGACTACACGCATGCATAACTGCAGGAGTGCATGGACTCACGAGGTTATAGAGGTAGATGAAGTGCTTGAAAGGGTTCATCCATGGCTTCGCCTTGATCGCAGACATGCCCCCACTCACTTCCTCTCCCTCCTCCTCCAACTCCCTGTGGGCACCACCAGGCACAACGGGGAACGTGGGGGAGTCAACGACAAAGGAGAAGAGGAATTTGAGTCGACTAGAAGTTGCCCCCACTCACTTCCTCTCCCTCCTCCTCCAACTACCTGTGGGCACCACCAGGCACAACGGGGAACGTGGGGGAGTCAACGACAAAGGAGAAGAGGAATTTGAGTCGACTAGAAGTTGCCCCCACTCACTTCCTCTCCCTCCTCCTCCAACTACCTGTGGGCACCACCAGGCACAACGGGGAACGTGGGGGAGTCAACGACAAAGGAGAAGAGGAATTTGAGTCGACTAGAAGTTGCCCCCACTCACTTCCTCTCCCTCCTCCTCCAACTCCCTGTGGGCACCACCAGGCACAACGGGGAACGTGGGGGAGTCAACAACAAAGGAGAAGAGGGATTTGAGTCGACTAGAAGTTGCCCCCACTCACTTCCTCTCCCTCCTCCTCCAACTCCCTGTGTGCACCACCAGGCACAACGGGGAACGTGGGGGAGTCAACGACAAAGGAGAAGAAGAATTTGAGTCGACTAGAAGTTGCCCCCACTCACTTCCTCTCCCTCCTCCTCCAACTCCCTGTGTGCACCACCTGGCAGAACCAGGAACCCCGGGAAATCGAGACAAAGGAAAGCGGAGAGCAAAGGAAACACCAAAGTGGCCGGGCTGGTCCTCAAGGTGCCACTTTTCAGAATTCTTCAAAGTGACCCTCACGGTGTAGAGACAGCAGGCGAAGCCGCGAAGAGGCAATCGCAGAGACCAGATGGATGGATATGAGGTTGCAGCAGGGTGTTTTTGAGAAATTAGACAAACACCCTCCTGCGACAATCGCAGAGACCAGATGGATGGATACGAGGATGGGCCGAGTGACGTGCATGAGAGAATCCAGGCTGAGGAAACAAAAAAGGCCTTCTGGAAAACGTATGCGAGACAGGCGAAGGTGGCTCTCTTGTCTATGGTGCTTTTTGGGAACACATGACACACCTCTATGCCAGGCATCAAAACAAAAGCAGGACATTTTTTACTTCCTGGGAAGGTGGCGGCGGCAGAGCAGCATGGCAAGGTGCATGAGGCAGGCGTAAGGTGGTGTGATGTGGTGTTTCCTCAGGGCACACCACATGCCTCTCAGTCACGTGTGAAAGAGAAACAAAGAAAGGGAAGAAAACACTTGCTTCGTGGCGAGGTGGCCGCGGTAGAGCAGGACACCAAGGTACATGAGGCAGGCGTAAGGTGGCTTGCTGTTGTGCTCCCTCAAGTCACACGCCATACCTCCCAGAAAGATATGAAGAGAAGAGGCAAAACAACATACTTGATGGTGAGGTGGCCGCGGTAGAGCAGCACGCCAAAGGTACATGAGGCAGGCGAAGGTGGCTTCCTGTGATGCTCCCTCAAGGCACACCACATACCTCTTAGGCAGATGTGCAAGTAAAGAAACAATAAACAAGAAGAAAAGGAGAACCCACTTCTTGGCGAGGTGGCCGCGGTAGAGCAGCACACCGAGGTACATGAGGCAGGCGAAGGTGGCCATGGCAGCGTAGAGAATGAACAGGTTCTGAAACCCCTCCACTCCCAGACTATCCGATGATTGCCCGCTGGCGTCCCCACTGCACGTCAGGTTGTTCTGTTGGAGGGGGGGGTTCAGGGCAGAGGCAAGGAGGTGAAGAGGTCAGGTTAACATGGTGGTGCACGTGCAAGCTGAGGTCAGAATGACATGCCCTGAGAGCCCTCCGCTCCCAGGCTATCCGATGATTGCCCGCTTGCGTCCCCACCGCACGTCAGGTTGTTCTGTGGGTGGTTTTGGTTTAGAGGGCGGAGGCAAGAAAGGAGAAAGCTCAGATTTGACTCAGCGTGGAAGCAGAACGAATGACATGCCCGGAAACCCTTACAGTCACATCACTCCGACCAGGCACATCACCCATTAAAGGCACACCCTTGCTTACAAGCGCAAGGACACTTGCAGCACATCGATACTTACAGGCCCGTGGACACTCACAGGCACGTGGACACTCACAGGCACGTAGTTGCTGTGGATGGTTCGCAGCTGGCCTGTTTCGCTCAGCTGGGCGATGGCCTTGCTCAGATCAACGGCCAGATTTGACCCCTTCTGAAAAGCCTGGTGAATGAAAGGGGTGCCGGGTTGATTCAAGGGGGTTGAAGAGGGATGAAGAGGGGTGGAGAGGGTTGAAAGTTGGAGGGGTTGAAGAAGGGTGGACGTGTCAGCTTTCCCCCCCCCCCCCCACCCCCCCGGGAACGAGCATTCCTGGTCTGGTGGTGCAATTTGGTACTTAACATGGTCCTCTTGCCTAAGACCATACAGCAGCAGCAAAACCCACTGACTGCTGCACTCAGGAAGGCCCATGCGAGGGTGGAAATTCTGCTTCCCCCGTGGTGAATGTGCAGTCCTGTGATAGAATGAGGTCTAGGAAGGGTCGCTCGTCCACCACGCCCTTCTTTTAGCCAACCCCCAGACTGCTCAAAGACGACTCAAAGGCTGCGGGGCGAGCGCTTCGGCGACCTCCCGCGCTCCGTTGACCGCCTCCTTCGCGACGGCGAGCGCTCCCGCCGCGAGTACGTCAGCTGCATGCGCAGCTCATGACGATCCATCACGCCGCTTTTCTCTCGTCTTGTGAGAGATTCAGCTCCCACAGGCTGGGTACCAATAGTGGCCTAGTCACCTAGCTGCTTGTAGCTTGAGTCAGCAACGTAAATCCACTATGCAATGGTAAACAAGACGAGAGAACAGGTCTGCTATGCTCGGCTAGGCTTCTTAAGCTTGTCTACCCAGTCGCGAGATTCTCAGCTTGATCGGTTGACCTCGAGCTGCCTGGGCCTTGGATTGGCCTTTTGCCAGATTCCCTGTCTCCCGAGGTCCCTGAAATTGTCCCCGAAGCGCTCTGTAACACCCAATACTACCAGCTTCTCGCTTCTCCCAATAACCCAACCCAACTACCCCACCGAGCAATTAAACAACAATTGCTACACCCTTCTACACCCCAATTAGCACATGTACTGAATAGGATGCTCTTACCATTATATTCTGTGACAAATAGAATGAGGTCCAGGAAAGGTCGCTCATCCACCACGCCCTTCTTTTAACCAGACCCCAGACTGTTCAAAGACCACTCAAAGACCGCAACAACGCACGGGTGGGTATGGCACTCACAAAGGCCCATCCGAGGGTGGAAATATCGGCGTCCCCCGTGGTGAATGTGCAGTCTTGCGTGAGAATGAGATCCAGGAAGGGACGCTCGTCCACCACCCCCACGACGGTGCCGTTCAGCATGGCCTCTGCGTACTCGTCCACACTGTTGAGTGGCTGCAGCTGCTTCTGTTAAGGTCAAAGGAAAGGAGGAAGGAGTGTGAGCGAGTGTGAGCAGCATGAGGTGCACAAGTGTGAGCAGCATGGGGTGTGCAGTGCTCACAGCCCACCACCACCCCCACCACGGTGCCGTTCATCAGCATGGCTTCCACGTACTCGTCCACACTGTTGAGTGGCTGCAGCTGCTTCTGTTGGAGGGAAGCAGAGGACAGGGGCGGAAGGAGTGTGAGTGGCACGAGGCACACACACTGTTCACAGTCCGCCATTCACAGTCCGCCATTCCCACCATCAGCATGGCTTCCGGTGGCTCGTCCATGCTGTTGAGTGGCTGGAGCAGCTTCTGTTGGGGATAGAAACAAGGAGGGAGTGTGAGTGAGTAACATGAGTCACGCACACCATTCGCAGCCCACTGTTCACATCCCCGTCATTCAAAGCCCACCATCCCCATCACAGTGCTGTTCAGCCAGTATGGCTGCTGTGTACTCATCCATGTTGTTGAGTGGCTGAAGCTGCTTCTGTTGCGGATAGAGAGAGTCAAGGAGGAGGAAGGAGTGAGTGAGTGGCGTGAGGCACAGACACTGTTCAAAGCTCACCATTCAGATCCCACCGTTCACAGCCCACCATTCAGATCCCACCGTTCACAGCCCACCATTCAGATCCCACCGTTCACAGCCCACCATTCAGATCCCACCGTTCACAGCCCACCATTCAGATCCCACCGTTCACAGCCCACCATTCAGATCCCACCGTTCACAGCCCACCATTCAGATCCCACCGTTCACAGCCCACCGTTCAGATCCCACCGTTCACAGCCCACCATTCAGATCCCACCGTTCACAGCCCACCGTTCAGATCCCATCACTCACAGCCCGTTCAGGCTGGGGACTCACTTTGCGAACACCAAAGCCCAGCAGGTGCTGCTCGGAGAAGGATCTGATAAGCCTTTAGAGGCGACCCAGAAGGAGGTGACTTGTGAGTCGACTCAAGCGTCACTGCATTGAGCCCTGGGCAGGAAGGGACTTACCCTGCGGACGCCAAATCCCAGCAGGTGCTGCTCGGAGAAGGATCTGATAAGCCTTTAGAGGCGACCCAGAAGGAGGTGACTTGTGAGTCGACTCAAGCGTCACTGCATTGAGCCCTGGGCAGGAAGGGACTTACCCTGCGGACGCCAAAGCCCAGCAGGTGCTGCTCGGAGAAGGATCCGTTGAGATAGCCCACGACGGAGCCCGATGTGATCACTGCTGCCAGGGACTGACACAGGGCGAAGGGAGGGGCGAGGGGCGATGGGCGGAGGGGGGGAGGGGGGGGGGGATTCATGAGCAGTTGTGACGCCTCAAGAGCCGTTGAGATGGCCCACGCCGGAGCCCGATGTGATGACTGCTGCAAGTGACTGACACGGAGCACAGGGAGGGAGGGGCAAGGGGTGGGAGAGCGGGGTTCGGGTTTTGAGACGTTGTGACGCCTCAAGGGCCGTTGAGATAGCCCACGCCGGAGCCCGATGTGATGACTGCTGCCAGCCAGGGACTGGAACGTGGGGGCGAAGCTTGTTGGCAAAAGGTGAGATACGAAGCATTGGAATGCCACAGCAGCCGCTGAGATAGACCCACCATGGAGCCCGGTGTGATCACTGCTGCCAGCCAGGGACTGCCATGAGGCACTGGGACGAGGGTTGGGGGGGTCGAGGAGCGAGTGGCAAGTTGTGAGTGACGATGGTTTTGAGACGTTTTGTATACTGTTAGATCAGGTTGAATACTCTGCAAGTACTGTACACAACACGTACTGTACTAGTGTGCATAACTTGCTGGAAAAGTAAGTAGCATACCTGTACAGGGGGAGTGAGGTTGTTAACAGTGAGGATGGAGGTAAGATTGGCGGTGTAACTGCAGGTGACGATGAGAACCACAAAGAGCCACGAAATCACCACGAAGCGGCCCAGCACTGTGCCCACGTGCTGCTCTGTAAGGGGGTTGAACGGTCATACGCACAAGCACATGACGTGAAATTAGCACAAGAAGAAGCAAAGGGACGTGTGGATATGGCATGGCATGATATTATATGATATGATATGATTACATGATTATTGTATACGAACGCAGCACACCCATCATCAAACATATGCATAACATGGAAATGTCTTAAACTCGTAAGCATGAAGGGTGGAGAAGTAAGAAGACGAGCATTAGTTTATGGGTTATGGGACAACCCAACAAATATCGTGGAATGAACAAAAAGTGCAGTGCAGTGGTATCAGAGGAAGTACCTTGTGAGCGAACCATGCTAGCAAAGGAAAACCTGAAGGGGATAATCACAGGGAAGGGGAAGGGTAGGTGGAGAAAATAAATGGAGTGGGAAATGAAATCTGCAGCAAAGATGGCCAAATCGCTCAATGGCACCAACTCAGGTATTCAATGAATGCAAGGGCTGACCCGGCAAAGGGAGCGTCTAGTTCAGTTTGCTATAAGAATATGTACTGTCTGTATCTACATATATATATAAATATATATATATATATATATAAACACGCGAGCCAGTGCTTACCAGAGGCTGGTGGTGAGCTCGTGGTGGTTGTGCTCGAGGTACCAGATGACAGCAGCGGTGAAAGACTACAGAGGTGATCATGAGCGCTGGCAGGCGCTCTATACACACCAAAGGTATCGAGTGCACCAGATTCTGGGCGAAATGCTGTGCGAAACGAACAGCCCACGCCACGTGCTGAGCTCCATTCCACGCCACCTCAACTGACACTCACCAGAGGCTGGTGGTGAGCTGGTGGTGATACGGCCCTCCGCCAAAGTCAAGGTTCTGGTTGTGCTCGAGGTACCAGATGACAGCCGCGGTGAAGACTATGGATGCGATCATGAGCGCTGGCACAGGCTGCTGACCTCCCAACCAGAGCTTGACTCATCTCAGCCAAGCACTCACCAGAGGCTGGTGGTGAGCTGGTGGTGGTACGGCCCTCCGCCAAAGTCAAGGTTCTGGTTGTGCTCGAGGTACCAGATGACAGCCGCGGTGAAGACTATGGATGCGATCATGAGCGCTGGCACAGGCTGCTGACCTCCCAACCAGAGCTTGACTCATCTCAGCCAAGCACTCACCAGAGGCTGGTGGTGAGCTGGTGGTGATACGGCCCTCCGCCAAAGTCAAGGTTCTGGTTGTGCTCGAGGTACCAGATGACAGCCGCGGTGAAGACTATGGATGCGATCATGAGCGCTGGCACAGGCTGCTGACCTCCCAACCAGAGCTTGACTCATCTCAGCCAAGCACTCACCAGAGGCTGGTGGTGAGCTGGTGGTGATACGGCCCTCCGCCAAAGTCAAGGTTCTGGTTGTGCTCGAGGTACCAGATGACAGCCGCGGTGAAGACTATGGATGCGATCATGAGCGCTGGCACAGGCTGCTGACCTCCCAACCAGAGCTTGACTCATCTCAGCCAAGCACTCACCAGAGGCTGGTGGTGAGCTGGTGGTGATACGGCCCTCCGCCAAAGTCAAGGTTCTGGTTGTGCTCGAGGTACCAGATGACAGCCGCGGTGAAGACTATGGATGCGATCATGAGCGCTGGCACAGGCTGCTGACCTCCCAACCAGAGCTTGACTCATCTCAGCCAAGCACTCACCAGAGGCTGGTGGTGAGCTGGTGGTGGTACGGCCCTCCGCCAAAGTCAAGGTTCTGGTTGTGCTCGAGGTACCAGATGACAGCCGCGGTGAAGACTATGGATGCGATCATGAGCGCTGGCACAGGCTGCTGACCTCCCAACCAGAGCTTGACTCATCTCAGCCAAGCACTCACCAGAGGCTGGTGGTGAGCTGGTGGTGATACGGCCCTCCGCCAAAGTCAAGGTTCTGGTTGTGCTCGAGGTACCAGATGACAGCCGCGGTGAAGACTATGGATGCGATCATGAGCGCTGGCACAGGCTGCTGACCTCCCAACCAGAGCTTGACTCATCTCAGCCAAGCACTCACCAGAGGCTGGTGGTGAGCTGGTGGTGATACGGCCCTCCGCCAAAGTCAAGGTTCTGGTTGTGCTCGAGGTACCAGATGACAGCCGCGGTGAAGACTATGGATGTGATCATGAGCGCTGGCACAGGCTGCTGACCTCCCAACCAGAGCTTGACTCATCTCAGCCAAGCACTCACCAGAGGCTGGTGGTGAGCTGGTGGTGATACGGCCCTCCGCCAAAGTCAAGGTTCTGGTTGTGCTCGAGGTACCAGATGACAGCCGCGGTGAAGACTATGGATGCGATCATGAGCGCTGGCACAGGCTGCTGACCTCCCAACCAGAGCTTGACTCATCTCAGCCAAGCACTCACCAGAGGCTGGTGGTGAGCTGGTGGTGATACGGCCCTCCGCCAAAGTCAAGGTTCTGGTTGTGCTCGAGGTACCAGATGACAGCCGCGGTGAAGACTATGGATGCGATCATGAGCGCTGGCACAGGCTGCTGACCTCCCAACCAGAGCTTGACTCATCTCAGCCAAGCACTCACCAGAGGCTGGTGGTGAGCTGGTGGTGATACGGCCCTCCGCCAAAGTCAAGGTTCTGGTTGTGCTCGAGGTACCAGATGACAGCCGCGGTGAAGACTATGGATGCGATCATGAGCGCCCACATGCTCCCTGTGAACGGGTACAGGAACGCCCAGGGGTTGGCTGGGTCGCCCTGCAGCACCGGCACCACCAGACCCAGCCCTGACTCCTGCGTTTCAGAAATGTTGGCGTAGGGAGGCGGGGCGAGGAAGAGAAGGAGGGAAAGGGTGAGGCATTGTCAGGGGCTAAGGGGTGGGGTCGGCCTGTAGGTACCAGACCAGATGACAGCGGCGGTGAAGACTATGGAGGCAATCATGAGCGCCCACATGCTGCCTGTGAACGGGTACAGGAACGCCCAGGGGTTGGCTGGGTCGCCCTGCAGCACCGGCACCACCAGCCCCAGCCCTGACTCCTGTGATTCAAGGGCGAAGAGAGAAGGGAAGAGAGAGAAGGGATGCTAGGGGTAGTGGAGGGAAGAGAGCCCAGGGGTTGGCCGGATCGCCCTGTAGCACCGGCACCACCAGACCCAGCCCTGACTCCTGTGATTCAAGGGCGAAGAGAGAAGGGAAGAGAGAGAAGGGATGCTAGGGGTAGTAGAGGGAAGAGAGCTCAGGGGTTGGCCGGATCGCCCTGCAGCACCGGCACCACCAGACCCAGCCCTGACTCCTGTTGGGACAGGCAGGCAGGGCGAGCAGGAAGTAGGACGGAAGAAGACGCAGCCCCAGCCCTGACTCCTGTTGGGGTGGGTGGGTAGGCAGGGCGCGGACGAGAACGAGCCAAGGGATAAATGATCAGTCTAGAGTTAGCGCCGCGAAAGTCTGGCAATCTTGGGGTGAGAAAGGAGATTTAGACAAGTGCAGTGGAGAATAAGAAGGCTGTCATGACTCGACCATGAAGTCAGTCTTGTCGTCACCTCACCATAACTATTATGATGCTACAATCACCAGGCTGTGCCTGTGCAGTTGGATGCGGTTACCAGCAGCATGCGATTACCACCATCAGTGGCTGTGCAGTTACCACAGATGGTTGCCAGAATGTGGTTAACATATGGTTACCACTAAGCTGTTACCATTAATGAAGCTGTTACCATGCAGATGTTACCACATGGTTACCATGAAGCCGTTACCACATGGTTATTATGAAGCCGTTACCATATGGTTATCATGAAGCCGTTACCATATGGTCATGAAGCCGTTACCACATGGTTATAATGAAGCCGTTACCATATGGTTTTCATGAAGCCGTTACCACATGGTTATCATGAAGCCGTTACCACATGGTTATTATGAAGCGTTACCATATGGTTATCATGAAGCCGTTACCACATGGTTATCATGAAGCCGTTACCACATGGTTATCATGAAGCCGTTACCATATGGTTATTATGAAGCCGTTACCACATGGTTATAATGAAGCCGTTACCACATGGTTATAATGAAGCCGTTACCATATGATTATTATGAAGCCGTTACCACATGGTTATCATGAAGCCATTACCACATGGTTACCATGAAGCGGTTACCATTCGCTTACCATGAAAATGCGGTTACCATGCGGTTACCATGAAGGGCTGTGTGAAGTCCACGATCTGAGCGCGGTCTGCTGTGACTGTGATGTCGCCCACCGCCCCGTCATACTCCTGAAGGGGAGGTCGGAAATGAGGCCGAGAGGGGTGAGGGGGAGCGGGGAGGGGAAAAGGGGGAAGGGAAAAAGGGGAAAGGAAAAGGATTAAGCTAGACAGGGGAAGGGGTAAAGGGGAAAAGGGGGAAAGGGGGAAAGGGGGGAGGGGGGAAAGGGGAGGTTCCCATCTTGTCTTCAGCCTTGCCTCCCCTCTGTCTACTACATCACTCCCACTCTCGCACCCACCTTGCTCGCGACGCGCCGAATCAGATCCTCGTAGGAGCTCCCCTGGAAGTCATAGAGCACGAGGGAGAACCCCACCCCACCCCACCCCACCCCACCCCACCCCACCCCACGCCACCCCAGACCATCACACCCACTGGCTACAAACAACAGCAAGCAGCCACTGCTCTATGCCTTCCCTCCCTCTCGCCCGCCCACCTTGTTGGCGACTCGCCGAATGAGGTCCTCGTAGGAGCTCCCTGTAAAAGTCATACGCCACCAGCGAGTACCCCACTGGGTACGGCAGCAGCGCCATGACCCTTCGTCTCTCCTCACCTTGCTTCCCACTCCCATCCCACGCGCCCGCCCACCTTGTTGGCGACGCGCCGAATGAGGTCCTCGTAGGAGCTCCCCTTGAAGTCATACCCCACAAGAGAGTACCCCACAAGAGAGTACCCCACAAGAGAGTACCCCACAAGAGAGTACCCCACAAGAGAGTACCCCACAAGAGAGTACCCCACAAGAGAGTACCCCACAAGAGAGTACCCCACAAGAGAGTACCCCACAAGAGAGTACCCCACAAGAGAGTACCCCACCCACCGTTCACAGCAGCAAGCAACCATGACAGCCTGCCGCCCCCCTCGCTCACGCGCACCTTGTTGGCGACGCGGCGAATGAGGTCCTCGTAGGAGCTCCCCCTGAAGTCATATGCCACGAGTGAGTACCCCACTGGGTACGGCAGCAGCGCCATGGCTCGCTGAAACACCTCCACACATAAGCCTGAGAAGTTGCCATCTGGAGTGCGGCTCACATACTGCTCCACAGCCTGGGGAAGAGGGGAAGGGCAGGAGAGGAGGTGAGACTCGAAAAACGTCTCTCAAGACAAAGTGCCATAGCTCGTTGAAACACCCCCACACAGAACCCTGATTGCAGTCTGAAGTGCGGCTCACATACTGCTCCACAGCCTGGGGAAGAGGGCGGGGAAGGGTCAGGAACGGGAAGAGGGGGAAGGGGAGGGGAGTGGGGTGGGAGAGGAGAGGTTAAAGCACTCGAAAGGTATCAGAAAGAAGAAGCGCCATGGCTCGCTGAGACACCTCCACACAGAAGCCTGAGATGTTCCCATCTGCAGTGCGGCTTCCTTACTGTGATACAGCGGTGGGGTAGGCAGCACGGGAAGGGGGGAAGGGAATGCGGCAAAGGTGCAGCTGATTCATATGGACAAAGGACTTGCAGAAACATCGATCAATGTCACTTTGGAGAAACTTCGGAAGTGGGTTTGATGCAGACGAGAAACCGGGGAGAGGGGAGGATGGATGATCATGATAGGATATAGACGGAGTGACGACGAAGGGGCTTACCGAAGGGCCGAACGGGACTGCAATGCGTAACGCCTTGCCTTTGGATGGTAACCAGCCACGGGGGAACTGAGAGAGGGGGGGAGCGAAGAGGTGAGAGGATGGAGAAGAGCTATTGTAAAGAACAGACTTGCAATGCGTAGAGCCTTGCCTCGGCCACAAGGGAATTGGGAGAGGGGGGGAGAACGAGGAATCAAGAGGATGGGGAAAAAGGTTAGAGAATGGGAGAAAAGTTGCTGCTCCGAATCAGATGAACTAGCAAGCCACGTTCGTCTGTTAATAATTCTTGGGCTTTGCAGGGTCGTTAAAGTGGAGATTGTAATCGAGCACAGGCGCGGAAAGCATGGATCCACTTGGAGGCGATTTCACTTTTATTTTGCATCGAAGAAACATTACATTGAAAAGGTGTTACCTTGAAGAAGTGTTACCTTGAAGAGGTGTTACCTTGGAGGTATTGCCAGGCCACACAGCAGGCTTGAGGGTGGTGTTGGATGGCTCTTTCGACTGGCAATGGGATGCACGGAGGGGAGGGGGAGGAGAACAGATTATTGAATCGCCTCATTGAACAGGCTTGAGGTTGGTGTTACATGCCTCGCGCGACTGTGCAACGGGATGCATGGAGAAGTAGAACAGGGTGCAAAGCTATTGAGTCACCCAAAAGCCACTCGAATGGAAACACAATCAATGCAAGGAGGGGTGCGCAAGGAAAGCGTTGCGTTTCGCATGTGCAGGCAGAGAGGAGAGGGCTACTCACAGGGGCAGGAACAAGGCCCTTGCCTGGCTCCCAATAGCCGAGGGTTTCAAAGGTTGAGGCCACCAAATTGACCACCTTATAGCTCACTCATTCTCTCCACAGCAATGACCCAGAGACAGCACAGGGGTTTGGACCAGCGCACGTGCCTGCAGGAAGAAAGAGGGCTACTCACAGGGGCAGCCACGAGGCCCTTGCCCTGCTCCCAGTAACCGAGCGTTTGAAAGTTTGACGCCACCAGATTGACCACCTCGTAGCTCACTCCCACGCGGTCGTGGTTCTTGTCAAATGCAACCCTGGAAGGAAGGACAACAGGAGGTGAGAAGGAGAGAGAAACGGGTCAAGATTGAAATCACTCTTGAGAATTCTCAAAGGTGAGAAGGAGAGAGAAACGGGTCAAGACCCTGAGTAGTGCCACAACACGTAGGTCACTCACTCCCACACAATCATGGTTCATGTGAAAGGCAACCCTTGAAGGATAGCCGAAGGAAGGAAGGAAGGAAGGAAGGAAGGAAGGAAGGAAGGAAGGAAGGAAGGAAGGAAGGAAGGAAGGAAGGAAGGAAGGAAGGAAGGAAGGAAGGAAGGAAGGAAGGAAGGAAGGAAGGAAGGAAGGAAGGAGGGAGGGAGGGAGGGAGGGAGGGAGGGAGGGAGGGAGGGAGGGAGGGAGGGAGGGAGGGAGGGAGGGAGGGAAGGAAGGAAGGAAGGAAGGAAGGAAGGAAGGAAGGAAGGAAGGAAGGAAGGAAGGAAGGAAGGAAGGAAGGAAGGAAGGAAGGAAGGAAGGAAGGAAGGAAGGAAGGAAGGAAGGAAGGAAGGAGAGAGAACAAAGCTGTGAGACGTGTTAAAAGTCCATCCCGTAGCTCCTTTGTCAAAGGCAAAGCTGGAAGCACAGCCGAAGGAAGGAAGGGGAGAGAAAGGAAGGCGGGGAAGGTGGGGTGGCAGAGGGAGAAAGGGTGGTGACGAGACAGAGGGAGGAACGGGTGTGGGGAAATAGAGCGAGAAAGAGGGGGTGGGGGAGACCGGGCCGGGGGGATGATGGGTTTGATTCTGCACTGCATTGAACAGCCTTGGACAGGCTGCCCCCGTTGCAATGCAGCTCAATCACACTTCAAGGGATTCCCAGTCATAAAGGATCCATGTGCCCTCACGAAATCACTACCACGGGCATTCATGCATGCTAGTCTGGTCGTCCACCATGCGGGGCGGGGCGGGGCGGGAGGAACCTCACTCACTCATCAACAACACTCACTTTCCAGTGATTCCATCCACTTTAGTCTTGACAAGCGTTTTGAGGCGTCTCAACACTCACTTTCCAATGATTCCATCCATCTTAGTCTTGACAAGCTCCTCCAATATCCTCACGCCAGCTGTCAGGGCATGGAAACAGGATTCGATAGAGGCGATGGGTTCGGACCAGTTAGGCAACAAGAGGATTAATCGACAAGATGCACGCATGCATGCATGATGATCGACAGGAGGATGCACGCATGCATGCATGCACCTAGGTACATGCAGCCAGCGGACATGTACTACGAACTGGAGGACAAATTTGAGGCGCCTAACATGACGAACTGGAGGACAAATTTGAGGCGCCTAACATGATAAACTGGAGGACAAGAAACAATCTGCTGACGGCTCACCCTTGCTGACTTTGAGCCGCGCAAAATCGGTGCTTCCCCCACCATCCGGGGGCAGAACAGGGCGGCGCGGGCGGAAGGGAAAGCTGGCGCCTGGCAGGTGGGAGAGGTTGTGCAGCGCACGGGCCGCCACCCAGAAGGCATCATAGGCAAGCAGTGAGTAGGGGGAGACCTGGCGGGGTGATGGGGGTGGGATGGGAGGCAAAAGATCGAGGCAGATAGGGTACTGTAGCTGGGGATTATGGTGGTTATTGTGGCTGGGGACTATGGTGGTTACTGTGGCTGGGAAAGCTGGCGCCTGGCAGATGGGAGAGGGTGTGCAGGGCTCGGGCTGCCACCCAGAGGGCATCGTAGGCAAACAGTGAGTAGGGGGGAGACCTGGCGATGGGAGGCGACAGGGATAGGATAGATAGGTATGAGGCGGGGCTGAAACGGTTACTGTGGTTGATGACTGTGCTGGATTTTGGCAGGTGGAGGAGGAGGAGGAGGAGGAGGAGGAGGAGGAGGAGGAGGAGGAGGAGGAGGAGGAGGAGGAGGAGGAGGAGGAGGAGGAGGAGGAGGAGGAGGAGGAGGAGGAGGGCCAGACTACATACTGTGTCGGTGCCAAACATATTACATACCGTGTCGGTGCCAAAACAGACTACATACCGTGCTTTTTATCACTCTAAAAACGCCATGCAGTGTCAGACTACGTACCGTGTCAGTGCCAGAGCCGGGGTACTTGACGATGTCGAGGCCCTTCCATCACCCAATTCTGAGGCGCCTAAAAAAAAGGCGCGTACAGTGTCGGTTCCTCGAACGCACGTACAGTGTCGGTTCCTCGAAAGCACGTACAGTGTCGGTTCCTCGAACGCACGTACAGTGTCGGTTCCTCGAACGCACGTACAGTGTCGGTTCCTCGAACGCACGTACAGTGTCGGTTCCTCGAACGCACGTACAGTGTCGGTTCCTCGAACGCACGTACAGTGTCAGTGCCAGAGCCGGGGTACTTGACGGTGTCGAGGTTCTTCCATCGCCTCTTGAACTCCAGCAAGCGCGGGTTGTCCCGAATGGCCACTCGTGTGCCCACCATGCCCTGGTGCATGCTCACAGGGGGAGAGGGAGGGTGGGTTGGAGCGGCGAGTGCCGAGGTAGGTGGAGCTTTCAATACGCTTTTGGGAATTCTCAAAAGTGATTACAACACAGCCCGTCCATGCACGGAGTGTTGTTTGCTACACACTCACTCACAGTGAGAGCACTAGGCTGCTAGCCGTGGTTGCTACGCATTGACTGCCACACATTGACTGCTACATACATACAGTGAGATTGTTTGCTACACACACACTTACAGTGAGAGCATTAGGACACTAGCCTTGACTGCCAACGACTGTTATATATCGATCACGACATACAGCGAGAGAGCTGAGGTAGGTGGAGTTCATGTTGGCGCCCATGCGGAGGGAGATACCATAGCGCCTCCATGGATATCCATTTCTGCGATGTCTCAAAAATCATTGGCGCTACGTACAGTGAGAGAGCTGAGGTAGGTGGAGTTCATGTTAGCGCCCATGAGAAGGGAGATAGCTCCCTCGGTGGATATCCACACGTACCCCTCACTCATCAGCCCCATGCGCTGCGCTGCAGCCAGGAGAAACGCGGGGGTACAGGGGAGGAAGGTGGGCGAGAAGAGGGGGGTTGGTTCAAAAATGGCAAGGGAGGTGGGTGGGAAATGACAGCCTCGGTAGATATCCGCACGTACCCCTCGCTCATCAGCCCCATGCGCTGCGCTGCAACCGGGGAGAAACGCGAGGGGAGAGGGGAGGAAGCTGGCTAATGCGCCATTAGGTATATCATGAGTCGACTCAAAACTAGGCAGAATTTGGATGGGATGGGAGCCGCCTCTTGGATCGAGATGCTTTTCTAGTCCATATCACACCTTTTGCTCAAATCTAGGACGAACCCGTGAAAGGGAATTACCCCACCCCCCCCCCCCCCCCCGAAAAAAAAAAAAAAAGGAAGAGGCATTTTACTGAAGCGCATAGCATGGGGGTTGATGGCTGGTCGTAGACATGAGCACAAGGGGCGAACCGAACAGGTTTGTTTTTTCGCTTAAAGTGTTCGCCAAACAGTGTTCGAGGTTCGCCCGAACACGTTCGTGTTCGGGCCGCTGCTGCAATTTGCCCCGCGACGAACACGAACGTGTTCGAGGTTCGCCCGAACACGAACGTGTTCGAGGTTCACCCGAACACGCCTTCACAGGCGAACGGCGAACACCTGTTTTTGGTTAAAGTGTTCGCCGAACCGAACAGTGTTCGGTTTGGCAAACGGATGTGTTCGTGTAGGGGCGAACACGAACATGTTCGTGTTCGCCCCTTGCTCATCCCTAGCTGGTCGTGCTCGAAACCAAGGCGTGCCTTCGTCAAGGAGGGAGAGGATGTTGGAGGAGGCGACGTGGACGACCAAGTACTCAAGAAGAGACTCGAGGTCTGTATGTTTGCTCTGAGTCGTGACTCAGAGCTAGTCCCTCCAGAGGCCAACATACATGCGTACCTTCGTCAGAAGGAAGAGCACGTTGGAGGAGGCGACGTGGACGACCAAGACGGAGGTCCCGGAGGACTGCATGTTCGCCCATTTTTGAGTCGACTAAACAATACCGCATGCTCGCCGTGAGTTGTGAGTCATGTTTTGTCTCTCGAGAGCCGAGCCGTACACAAATGTGTACCTTCGTCCAGGAGGAAGAGCACGTTGGAGGAGGCGACGTGGACGACGAAGACGGAGGTCTCGGAGGACTGCATGGCGCGCAGCAGCTGCGTTATCTCTTCATTGGTGGCCCGCGGGTCCAGAGCTACCTTGTTGGAGAACTGCAGCGGCAGCTGCTGCGACTGGCAGTGTGAGGCAGGGAGGGCGGGGCAGGGAGTGGGTAAGGCGAAAGTAAAAGGGTAAGAAAGGAGGGATGCACGCGGATCCAGAGCGACCTTGTTGGAGAACTGCAGCGGCAGCTGCTGCGACTGGTGGGTGTGGGGGCTGGGATGGGGGGGGGATGGGGGCGGGGATGGGTGCAGGGATAGGGCAAGGATTTTGCAGGGATGGGGCAGAGATGGGACAAGGATGGGGCGGGGATGGGGTAAGGATGGGCAGTGTGTGAGAATGGGATAGTGACGGAGGGATGTGCGCAGGTCCAGAGTTTAGGGGGACAGCGGCAGGCAGCTGCAGCCACTGGCAGTGTGCGGAGCAAAAGAGAGGGGGGTAGGGGCGGAGGAAGAGATGGGGCAGCGATGGGCAGTGTGTGAGAATGGGATAGAGAGGGAAGGATGTATGCGGACTCAAAAGGCTCAGAGGCACCTTGTTGGAGCATTGTAGCTGGTGCGACTGGCAGTGTGTGGAGCAGCGATGAGGGCAAGTATTGCATGTCACTCAAGTGTCGCATACCATGCGACCCAGCACCGTCGTGGTACCTTAGCCATGAGCATGTTGGTGAGCACGTCCATGCCATTGCGCCCAAAAGCAAACCATACCATGCCATACCATGCCATGCCATGCCATACATACTACCATACCATGCCATGCCATACATACTACATACCATGCCATGCCATGCCATGCCATGCCATGCATACATACTACCATACCATGCCATGCCATGCCATGCTATACATACTACCATACCATGGCATGCCATGCCATACATACCACCATACCATGTCATGCCATGCCATACATACTATTATGTCATGTGAAACCAACCTTGGCCTTCAGGATGTTGTCAACGGGAGTTGTGTGTTGGCCCCGTCCTTTCTTGGGCGGAGCCGACTTCGTGCTCGGGTGAACGGGAGGTGCAGCCGAATAGCAGCTGTGGGCGACGCCGACTTAGGCGAGCTGGTCGACAAGTTTGGTCGACCTGCACAGGGCCACTGCACAACCGCCGACTTTGGGAAGCTGGCGGCCGATTTCTACCGATGGTCGACGACGGGGCTCGTCGACCTGGGAAGGGCGCCGACTTGGAGGGCGCCGACTTCGGGAGGTCGACCTGGCGAGGTCGACCTAGGGCGCCGACTTGGTGGCGCCGATCTGAGAGGCGTCGTGGTGGCGCCGAGCTGGGAGAGCACCGACTTTATAGTGCCAACTTGGGGAAGCCGGCTTGGTGTGGTCGGCGTCCAACAAACCTGGTCGGCCAAAAGTGGTCGACCTGGGGGAGTAGCCGACTTCGTGAAGTCGGGGGAAGGTGGTCGTCGATCCTGACGGTCGACGTGCACGAGGATCAGCGCTTTGTCGACATGGTTGTCAGGTCGACCAAGTTACCCGGGCGACGGGGTTCTGCGGAGGTGCGAGATAGTCGCCCAGGTGGTTCTGGCGAATCCAACCTCGGAGTCGGAAGTCGTGGCCGACTAGGCATCTACGTGACGGGGCACAGCATGCCAACCAACTGCAAGCACCTGCGAAGCGGGTGCGCTGCTGTCATGCGGGTGCAACGCTGTGCAGTCGCCTTTCTGCAGCACTGGAGCTGTCCAGACTCTGCTGCGCTGGAACTCGGTCGACCGTGCTGCACTGGAGGTCGACCTGCCTGTGCGCTAGGCGGACTTGCATCTGACGTAGTCAACTTTGCGAATGTTGTTGCTACCATTGTTCACAACTTTCTCTAGTGAAAAGCTTGTCGTTTTACCCCGTGAATACACAAGTGCTAGAAAACGCTAAGGAACATTACGATCACTCTCACAACCGTGCCTTCCCCTGTAGTCAAGCTCCTGTTGAACGAGTTATCTCCACAGATGTTAGTGAGCGCGTCCATGCCATGTGGTACATGAAAGAACAACCAACCTTAGCCATGAGGATGTTAGTGAGCGCAACCATGCCATGTGATACATGAAAGAACAACCAACCTTAGCCATGAGGATGTTTGTGAGGGCGTCTATGCCATTGTGCCCAAACTCATCGTCTGAATAGATCATGATGGCCTGGTGCCACTGGTAGTACTGCAGTATGTCTGTGTGGGGGACGAGAACGGCAGGGAGGAAAAGGGGAGGGGGGATGGGGATTGGGAGGGGCGAGGGGGCGGTGGGTCAGGGAGGGTGAGAACGGAAGGTTGGGTAGTACTGGAAAGAGGAGTCATACAAGATCATGATGGTCTGGCGCCACTGGTAGTACTGTAGTAGGTCTGTGTGTGTGTGTGGACTACACCAGGCAGCACTTGTGCGGACTATGACTATGACTCACCCGCTGTCACCTCCATCTCCATCTGGCCGCTGTGGCTCAGACGCACACTTTTAAGTCGACTCTCTGAATATACCTTCTAACCCGCCGGGCAGCACCCACCGGGAAGCATTCCCCGGGCGGGGAATATGATGACGACTCACTCACCCGCCACCCCACCTCCTCCATCTCCATCTGGTCGCTCGCTGGTTGACTGACAGTATAGTCAGTAGGGTGCACGACGTAGGTAGGGGAACCGCCCCTTGACTTGGACGACAGTGTGGGGCAGCACCCCGTGCCACTCACAGGCCACCACCACCACCTCAACTCTCACCCACCGGGCAGAACTAGCCTGGCCTACGATGACTCACCCGCTATCACCTCCATCTCCATCTGGTCGCTGTGGCTCAGACGCACGAAGTAGGGGAACTGACGCGAGGGCCAGGCCAGGCCAGCACTCCTTGTCATCCCCTGGCCACCACCTCAACTCCCACCCACCCGGCAGCGCTTGTGTGAGGCCTATGATGACTCACCCGCTATCACCTCCATCTCCATCTGGTCGCTGTGGCTCAGACGCACGAAGTAGGGGAACTGCCCTTTGGATGACAGTGTGGGATCCGTTGCCGAGAAGCTCAGCATCGGCACCTGGAGAGGGGTGGGGAAGGGAGACAGGAGGGAGAGGGAGAGGAAGAGGGGGAAGGACAGGGGGAGGAAGGAGGGAGGAGAGGGGAGGGGTGGGGAAGCAGAAGCGGGGGGAGCCTGCTTCTGAGGCGCAGGAAGAAGGAAAATTGCCCCTTGTACGATAATGAGGGGTCCGTGGCTGAAAAGCTCAGCATCGGCACCTGGGGGGAGGGGGGAGGGTTGGGGAAGCGGAAGCGGGGGGGAGCCTGCTTGGAAGAAGGGGAACAGCCCCTTGGACGATAACGAGGGGTCCGTGGCTGAAAAGCTCAGAGTCGGCACGTGGGGGGAGGGAGATGGGGGGAGGGGGGAACCGGGGGGGGGGGATGGGTAATGAAGAAGGGAAACTGTCCCGTGAATAGCTCAGTACCAGCAGAAGGGGGGGCGCAGGGGAGGGCGGGCGGGGGGGCTGGGAGGTGGCGGGCGGGCGGGAGATGGCGCAGCGCTACCAGAAAGCATGTAACTTCACCAGCACTAAGAGGACACTGTATTGTACTGTACTGTACTGATTAATACATATTGTGCTGCAGAATACTACTGTACTTGTTGTGGATTAGTGTAGTGTAGTGTACCTGGTAGTCGCGGCACAGGTCGATAATGCTGTGAGCCTGGGACGAGTATTCAGGCCCCAGCACCAGCAGCGCGTCGTCAAGCATCGTCTGCAGTGCTGTGTGCATGAAGTGATGTGATGTGGTGCGGTGCGGTGTGGAGTGGAGTGGTGTGGCGTGGCGTGGCGTGGTGTGGTGCGGTGCGGTGCAGTGTGGTGCGGTGCGGTGTGGTGTGGTGTGGTGTGGTGTGGTGTGGTGTGGTGTGGTGTGGTGTGGCGCAATGCGATGGGATGTGAGACCAAGGAAACGCATATTGAGGTGCCTCAGAAGTTGTGAAGTTTGGCGATCTGATGCGGTGTGGGACCAGGAAAACCAGGTTTACTTTTGAGCCGACTATAGAAATTCTGGGAGCAAAAAGGGCTGGATTCTGACATATGATCGTGAGTTCATGGCAGGAAAGGGTGAGGTTAGCGACTTGCGAGTGTGAGTTCGTGCCATGTGATAATGAGCAAACGACATTTGATCGTTCGTGCGTTGTTAACGTGCGGGAAGCATGGATTGTGACATGCGAGCATGGGCTTGCAAGGGAGAACAAGCACCTGCTGCTTGTGCCTGGAACCTGGTGCTTCCCGTGTTACCAAAAGAGAGCCTCAGCGGATAGGGGAACGTTAAGGAGGAGTCTGCCTGAACATCCTCGAACGCCAGCCGGATGGCTGTGATTGGGCAACGGAGAGGGAAGACGAAACATGGAATTATTTTTTTTACGCGCCTCAAAAATAGTCTCAGCAGATAAGGGAACGTAAAGGAGGGGTTTGCTGCTGGCACATCCGCGAGCGCAGCCAATTGCTGTGATTGAAGCACGGCAGTTGTGAAAAGCTCTTGGCGAAATTGGTAGCCCTTGAGTAATTCGCCAGGTTGACCATAACTGCGGGTCAAGGTGTTGCCAGAGAAAATTCATTTAGCAAGCGTAGTGCAAAAAATCTTATACAGGTGATTCTTTGAACAGAAATGCGGGCGAGATGTGACTGGGAGTTTTGAGACGTCTTTTGAGACGCCTCAAAAGATGTGATTGGGAGTTAATATACAAGCTTATAAGGCTTCGTAGCCAACTCGCCCACGCATTCAGTTCGGCAAGTGTTCCTCTTAAAAAGTTTTGCATAGTGAGTGCTTTGCAATGGTGAGAGAAAGCGTCGCACTTTGAGAGCATAAAGAGAGTTTTTCACGGTGAGATTCGCAAGAGGATAGTTTTGCACGATAAGAATGTCGCATGGTAAAAAAGGCTTCGCACGGTGAGAGTCGCATGGTAAGAGTTTCGAAGGGTGAGCATGTCGCATGGTAAGAGTTCCGCACAGTGAAAGTGACGCATGGTAACTAAGAGTCTCGCAAGGTGAGAATGTTCCATGGTAAGAGCTTTGGAAGTTGAGAACTTCGCATGGTAATAGGTGTGTCGCACAGTGAGAATGTGGCACCAGGAGTGTCGCACAGTGAGAATGTCGCAACAGGAGTGTCGCACAGTAAGAATGTCGCGCTAGGAGTGTCGCACCTGAGCGGAACGATGGGCCTTGCCCCAGCTCCTCCCCCGTGAGCACGCCAATCGTCAGCGTCTGATTCTCTACATTCGCCTCTACCACGCGCGCTTCGCTCCGCGGCCTGCGCGGGAACTTCGTGTGAAACGACGGACGCTCACCGTGGCCCACCAACGAGCTCTCGCCACGTGTCCTAGTTGTCAGGAAACAGCTGGCACAAGCAACCAGAATAAACGCAGCAAAGGGCATCACGGGAACAGACCATCGACGACGATGCCTACTTTCGAGCAACACACTTGCAGCCATATTTCTGTCCCGACGCTCTTCCCTTACTGAATGAACTTAAAACTAAGCGTTTGCAGTGGCGTTGCGAGGGCTTCTACTAGTTGCTACCGACACCCTGAACTTGGGCCGACACCGTTTTCCTGAGCTACACGTGTTCGGTCGGACTTCTGGTTCAAGAGCTTCAGCATTGGTGAATGGAGCCATAGAGAGCCTAGGAACTGCCGAAGGAGAAGGCAGCCTGACCGCCTAACGACTGTCCGTTCAGTCTTGCGACTGTTACGGAATGAGGTACGATCGCACTAAGGTGAGTACAAAATTATGAATGAAGGCATGACTGAATAATTATACGGAAACAAGCACTTATGCGGTGCATGCGAGCTAGCTAGTGCGAAGCTGGCATGAAGGTTGGGGCTAGTCCCGAGGCGTAGGCCGACACGGCCGGGCCAGCGGTGCATGGTTTGGAGAATAGTGCGCGGGAAGGTTGACGAAGCCCGTTAGCAGTAACAAACGAACAATGGCTGCTTCTGTACGCGGCGAAAAATCCGATGGCTCCAAAATTTTTTCCTGGTCGATTATCTGCTCCGATATAGGACGCGCCACTGATGGCGGAGGATGGCGTGGCAGTTGGCTTGTGGTGGCGACGTATGGTCGGAGTAGACTGGCGTAGAACGATGGGTTGTGTACCAGTGTGTCAGTAGCAGGATATGGGTGGTAACTTGGGTGATCGTGTGGCTGATTTGGAAAGGTCCAAAGTAGCGCGGTCGTAATCTTGTGTGTTACACATAATCCCCAGGCCGGTACGTTACCGTCATACCCCGGATATAAGCGCCACCCTCGGATAAGCGCCTGGCGCTTTTAATTGGCGTGTGGCGCTTATATCCCCTGCTCGATTATAAGTGCACCCCCTGAAAAAAAATTGTTTTATTATAAGCGCACGTAAACTTTAAAATTTGAAATGTGTTCAAACCGCTGTAACGATTTTTACTTTAGCAGGCAGATGTGTTGCAGATTCGGTTCCCTTCACATTCGGACCCTGCACTGGATGCGGGTCCAGTCAGCATGAGCTGTCAGGAGCTGTCAGGAGCTGGATGTGAGTCAGATTGGGTGTACCTCCCTGCGCGCGCGAGAATTTCACAGACGACCCCATGTAACTTCGACTCAATTGAAAAGGCAAGCACGAGATCTACAGTTTGGTGTTAAAAAATATAAAAAAACATATATTTCATTTTATAAACGCCGGCGCTTATAAATTTACTCGATTATAAGCCCACCCCTCTAAAAAAACCTGTTTTATTACTGCCCCCCATGGGGGTATATCCGGGGTATGACGGTACTGGGCGGCGGTGGCGGTTGGCGTTCCTTTTTGTGGTGATATTCCATTTGTTAAGTGCGTCTGCTACGCGGGTCTGGGCAGCTTGCAAGATCTCGGCGAGCTGTTGTGCGCGTGGCGTTGGGTCGTCTGGGCTTGGTGTCATGGGCACTACAGGGCCCGTAGTTCGGGTAAAATGGGGACTGTTGCGTCGTTGCTAACGTGACGTTGTTGTAGGCGGACCCGACCAGCGGCAACTGCTGTTCCTTGTCAGAATAGTGAACGAGGATGAATGAACCAGCAGCATGCAGGAGTACAAGTAGTAAACCCAAATTCGGTTGTACCCCATATGGGCTACCCCACTACAGCCTACACAACATGCAGCATATAAGTTTGACACACCCCCATAGGCATAGTGGGGGAGAACAAGAGGTCACAAGACCAGTCAAGAAAAAGCAAAGCAAACTCAGGGTGGATCACGAAGTCACCACACACTTTGAGCACAAACAAATGGCTACAAGTCCAGTTTACATGCAGAGTTATATAAAGCAAAGCACGCAGTACAGTGATCAAAACCTAGCAAGTGTAAGCATGCAGATATAAGCTTATAGGTTACAGTACAAGCAAAGTCAGGAAGTGAACAAGTAAGGCCAAGTAGGCACAAGGCCTAGAACAGTACAGAAACGCTGATGATCACAAAGCTGAAGTGCCTTGGTGAAGATATTAGTAGTGTTGGCACGAGAGGCCACGTAAACAAGACGAAGCTGTCCACGCTGCTGCAACTCTCGAGCAAGCAAGTAACGCAGAGCGATGTGCTTCGTCCTGTGCTCCAGTCTGTGCTCCTTACACAAGGTAATCATGGCCTTGTTGTCGACATACAGAACTGGAGGAGAACGAGGCGGCTCGCCCAAGTCGGTCAGCAGTTAGGTCAGCCTGCGTAACTCCTGTACAGCCATGGCCCTTGCGTAGATCTCAGCCTCACAACTGGAACTGAGAACAGAAGACGAGCGGGTAGACCGCCAAGAAACAGAGCCGGAGCCAAGGCTGAAGGTGTAACCCTGTGACGGCCGCTGCGTAGCCAAGTCGTCAACTCAAGAAGCGTCTGCAAGACCAATGAGGACAACTCGAGCCCGTCCTCCAAGCACGAGCCCCATGACCGAGGTACTGCACAAGTAGCGCAACACCCTTTTTAGCGGCCTCCCAATGCTCTGCTCGGTGTCTCCCGGGCCCAACGTAGCGTGCCAGGATGCTAGGAGGGTAAGCAAGGTCAGGTCGAGTGCAGGTTATCAGGTACACGAGGCAGCCCACAAGCTCTGGATACGGGCCACTCGGCTCTACGGACGCATCCAAAGGCAGAGCTGAGAGCGAGTGGCCGATAGGCAGAGGAGTGAACTGTGGCGAGGAGTACGTGAAGCGGAAGCTCTGAAGGACCTGCTGCACCATATGTGACTGAGTCAAGGTAATGGTGTGCCGTGCTCTGTCGCGGGTGATCTGCAAGCCAAGATAGCTGCGCAGCTCACCCAGCTGTGTGAACGTGTGTCTCTTTTGCAGCTCCGACTTCACGTGGGCCAGTCCCTTAGTGTCAGCAGAGGCAAAGACCAAGTCGTCGATGTACATGAGGATGTAGAACGGCGGCAGCGAAGTGTCGGTGCGTAGAAACAGCGACGGGTCAGCAGTAGAAGGAGCAAACCCAAGAGCCGCAAGCGTCGTCCTCAGTGTGTCGTGCCACTCGCGAGGCGCCTGGCGGAGACTGTAGACTGGCCGCCGGAGGCTCCACTGGGTACCTGCAGGAAACGACCCAGTGAAGCCAGGTGGGCGGCGCAGCCAGATCTCTTCGTGCAGGCTGCCCTGTAAGAAAGTTGTGCTGAAGTTAAGAGAATGAAGCTCGTATTCACGCTGAGTGGCAACGTGCAGCAGAACACGGAGAGTGGTCATCTTTGGGGTAGGGGAGAAGGTCTGGAAGAAGTCAACTCCCTGTCGCTGACTGAAGCCTCGTGCAACGTAACGTGCCTTGAAGACAGGCGGAGAATCCGGCGGCCGCTTCACCCTGAAAATCCACATGCCACTGACGATGTTCGCCCCAGGTGGGGGAACCTCGTCGACGTAAGTGCCTGTGGACTTCCAGGATGCCATCTGCGTGTCCATGGCTGCGTGCCACTGAGAGAAGTAGGGAGCCCTCAATCGCCTCTGCGTAAGAGCGCGGGGTCGGGATGTCTGGTGCATCTGGTCTCCCTCAGGTGCAATCAGCATGGACATGAGATGAGGTACAGCAGCTGCAAAACACTCAAAGTCCTCCTACCTGTCTTGAAGGACGTCCGTGCCAAGAGCACACTCACCCCCGACAGATGGAGGACAGACAGACTCAGACTCAACAACAAGACTAGCGGCGTAGTCTAGACGACAGGCGGCAGCAAAGTCAACAAGCTCAGCAACTAGAGCAGACGCAGCAGTGGACTCAAACGAAGGGTCAGTGACAACAGAGGCGAGTAGACGTGTGATAGTAGGGCAGGCAGCACGAAGTAAATCAGACTCCGGGTCTGGACCGTCAGCAAGGGAGGACGCAGGAGGAGACGGCAGAGGGACACGCAGTGGAACAGAGGAAGGACGAAGTGCAATCTAGTGCGTGCCGGGGACAGGAGGAGGACGCTGACGCGGAACATGACGACCAGTGCGAATAGCGCGAACAGGCGAGGCAGGACGAGACGCAGGCTCACGACGCTCTGTAAGGGAGTCTGACTATTCAGTGTAAGGAGAAGGAGTAGGAAGTGGGGAGGCTGGCTCTAACTGCGGCTGTGACTGGTCAGGGGGTGGACACAGTACTGGAGGAGTAAGGTTAGTAGAAGGCGGGAGACCAAGAACTTGCTGAAGGAGTGGAACGAAGCACGACCGCGGCCGCACAGCGCCTCCAGAACCAGCACCAGCACCCCCAGGGCCAGCGTCCGCACCTCCAACGCCTGCAGCACTACCAGCTCCAGCACCTCCAACTCCAACTCCTGCAGCACCTCCAGCTTCAGCAGCTCCAGTACCTCCCGTACGAGCACCTCCGGGACCAGCGGCTCCAGCACCTCCAGCAGCTCCAGCTCCAGCTCCTGCAGCACCTCCAGCTCCAGCAGCTCCAGTACCTCCAGTACGAGCACCTCCGGGACCAGCGGCTCCAGCACCTCCAGAATCTCCAGCTCCAGCTCCTGCAGCACCTCCAGCTCCAGCAGCTCCAGTACCTCCAGTACGAGCACCTCCGGGACCAGCGGCTCCAGCACCTCCAGCAGCTCCAGCTCCAGCTCCTGCCGCACCTCCAGCTCCGGGGTCTCCAACTCCAAACTCTCCAGCTCCAACGCCTGCAGCACCACCAGCTCCAACAGCTCTAGTACCTCCAGTACGAGCACCTTCGGAACTAGCGGCTTCGGTACCTCCAGGACCAACAGCTCCAGTGCCTCCAGCTCCAAGCCCCCCAGCTCCAGCAGCGCCACTCTGAAGACTCCAGCGCCGAGCAAACCACTCGCGCAGCTGCGGTGGAGAGAGAGGCTCACGCCGTGACAAGGCACCCGGAGAACATCCACCACCTCCAGCACCTCCAGGACCAACAGCTCCAGCTCCTCCGGTACCTCCAGGGCCAGCAGCTCCAGTACCTCCAGGACCAGCAGCTCTAGTGCCTCCA